GGATGGGATTCAAAAAAGACAAATTCTTTCCAAAATAAGGAATTCCATGATATTGAAACTATTTCAATCCCTTTTTTGGACAGAATGGAATTCGGAAAGTCCTTAATTGAATTCCTGGCAATCCCGTTTTAATTCTTTTCAATCTTTTTTCGTTTGCTGGGATAAACATTAAACATAGTCACTATCTGCTAACTTGACGCTTGATAAATTTTGTTAATAACAAAAAATCTATTCTTTCCCAAATGTTTAAACAATTTTCCCAAACTTCCCCAAATAATTCCCAAATTATATGAAAAAGAATAATTCCAAAATATTCAATTTGTCTGCTAACTCTACGGCGGTATATTCATTATTGAAAAAATTGATAATTATTTTCCACTAGTTATTAATTTTTAAATAAGTATAGATAGTAATTTATTTTTGACAGATATTAATTATTTTAATAATAAAGAATTTATTTCTACTAATTACCAATTTACAAAAAATTAATTTATTTTTGTCTAAATACTAATTTTCACGTAACTAGAAATTTTTCTCTGATTCTACAATTTACCAATTTTTTAAGTAATGCGTAATTTACTTGTACCTAAATATTATATTTTATGTACCTAATAAGTAATTTTTTGTAACTAATTACTAATTTGCTAATTCAATAAAAATTTAATTTGTTTCTTTGCTTAGTATTACAAAATGCGTGATATTAGTACAAAAGTACCTTTTTCAAAAAAGGTAAAAAAATGCACCAAGTACACGCAATGTATTTTGTGAATCCAAAAATCTAACCTAAATGGTAGTAGCTTAATTTTTCTTCAACAAAATTATATGACAAAATTGCGTTATCTAACTTAACCTAAATAATATGTTATTTCTAAAAAATATATAAAATTATTAAATTCTGCCAATTACAAAAAGAGAATATATAAATTGCTTTAAAAAATAATTGTTGTGCAATTACTTTTAAAAAATAAAACTTAAGTGGTACATATCTTTGTGCTTCCATTCAAGGGTTTTTCTATTCCAATCCAAGTAGTACCTTTAATTCTTCTTAACAAAATTATAATATTACAAAAAATCATTTTAATCACAAAGAATTAAAAAGGTAACAGTAGAAAATAAAAATATTTAATTAAAATAAACTAAATAAATTTTTTTTGTAAAAAGACTTGGCGCTGCTAGATCTCGAAATTTAATAAAGTACAGAAATTTTTGATTGAATAAAAAAAAAAATAAACATAATTTAGAGAAGAATGCGATGGGAGTAAAAAAGCAGCGCCAAGTTTTTTTACAAGAAAAATTTATTTTATTTTAATTAAATATTTTTATTTTCTACTGTTACCTTTTTAATTCTTTGTGATTAAAATGATTCTGTGTAATATTATAATTTTGTTAAGGAGAATTAAAGCTACTAATTGGGTTGGAATAGGAAGACCCTTGAATGGAAGCACAAAGATATGTACCACTTGAGTTTTATTTTTTAAAAGTAATTGCACAACAATTTATTTTTCAAAGCAATATATATATTCTCTTTGTAATTAGCGCAATTTAAAGATTTCATATATTTTTTTGAAATAACATGTCATTTAGGTTGAGTAGTTAGGTAACGCAATTTTGTGATATAATTTTGTTAAGGAGAAATAAAGCTACTACTACTTAGGTTGGATTTTTGGATTTACAGAATACATTGCGAGTACTTGGCGCCTTTTTTTACCTTTTTTGAAAAAGGTAATTTTGTACTGATATATTACAAACATATTTGTTATCCTGCGCTACTGGACAACTAAATCTCGGCACCATGAGAAGATAGCCACGTTGTTACATGTTCGTATTTTGGTTATTACAAAACAAAATATACGATTAACAGAATCGTAATGGGCATTATTAACACATAGAAGAAAGTTCCCTCTATTATATTTGTACAGGCAGTCACAACAATTAGTTGTCTAAGAAGTTATAATAACTTCGAAATTCTGAAATATGGGTCATGCTGTAACCCCGATCTCCCCTATAGCTAGACAATAAATCTTGCCTGCACTAGTTAAGTAACGTATGTATAGCGCTCATGACTTGCTTCGCGCGTGTACACTTAGTGCGAGGCACTACCATGTTTATTGATTTGCCAACAAACATTTATCCTTTTTTTATTTTGTTTGATATTGTCATTTAATAATCTCTGCGTTTCTATAATTTCATTAATATGAGCTTATTTATAGAACTCCATCCATAAATTTGCTTTCGGTAAAAGTCAACGTCTAAATTCGAATTGGACATTTAAAACTTTTTCTAATTGTAAGATCAGTAAAATTGAGTAATGATATAATAACGAGCAGTTACAACAGAAAAGTGAACATAATTTTTGTTAAATTTGGGTAAGACAAAAACATTTATATGAATATCTAGAATTATTTTTGTGTTACTGAATTCACCGCTAAAACTGCGCCTGCATATTAAGCCGTATCCAGACCAAGCAAAGGCAAATAAAATGAGTAATTTGCTTCAATAATTGCGAATAACAACACTGTTCGCACTCATTGAAGCAAGTTGTTCATTCGTGTTTGCTCATCATGCTCGCTTGATCTGGAGAAATGCATGTACAACCAGGGATCAGCATAATGATTTATAAGTCAATAATACAAACCGAAAGTACATTCTTAATTTGCCAACACATAATAAATGAATTAATTATTAATAATACAAGTTCTTTTACATGTTATTTTATTTAATATTATTAACTTGTAAATCATTATGCAACAGTCCTCAGAGCAGACTGGAGTTACATGGGTGCTTTCTAACGAAGATAATATAGTTACTCGAATCAGCTGTAACGGATTTTTACTATTAAAGTGATATCCCATTATGGGACTTCTTCGTAAATGTTTTTACATTACGTTGCAATTTTTAAATTCTTGACTTAGATTTAGGTTTTAATTTTAGTCATTGACTTAAATTACAATTACTATTTTGACTTTGCCTTCGTTATCGTATTTATTTCAACGCTTTAAATGTGATCTATAATGGTTTATTATTATTTTTATTATTTTTTATATTGTTTTGTAATTGCTCTGAAAAAGACCAAGTATACGATCGAAACGTAAGCTTATACAGCAATTAAAACGAATTGCTCTAATAAAGTTAATTTTTTTTAACACCTGATTATTACTCGATATCTGGTCGTTTTTTCTGTAATTAGCTATTGTTTTTATCGAGCGGATATTATTTTAAAAAATTTTTTTATTGTATATATACAACCTTGATATAAGATCAAGCTATATACCCGGTTTTAAAGAACCCAGTAGATATGCAAATAATTAAGATTGTACATACTCTCTAAAAGTCGAAGAGTGAAATATTAGTCAAAACGAGTGAAAAGAAAGTGTAAAAAAACGAAAAGTGAAAATTGAGTCTGTGCATTTCAAGTAATTCGCCACTCTAAGAAAGAGTAAAATTTCGCTCTATAAGTTGGAGTGAAATCGCATTCCATTTGAGTGAAAGGGGATTCTTTTCGAGTGTCCTTCTATCCAGAAGATCAGTGGCCATAAGAGTGAATTATATCAATGTACAATTTTGAGTGGAACACTCTGTTAGAGTCATTTATCAATCTACTTTATGTGAATCACGATTCACTATAGCTTTAGAATGAGATCGTATCACTCAGGTGTAGTAGCCGCTCTAAAAATTTGAGTGAAAAATTTGCCTCTATTTTATGAGTGCCCGCAAATAGAGCTATAACTCTCTCTTTTGGAGTGATTATCATAATCACTCTAATATATTAGTAGCGAAACCAATCTATGAGATTTAGAGAGTATGAATTTCAGTTACGATCATTTAAAAAGTCTCAAGCAACTCGAGTAAGAAGGAGAGGGAGAGAAAAATTAACAATTAAGTACGTTGTACTGGGCGCGGAATTCTTGCTCCATCCTGCTGAGACGGCGCAGTTCCCATGAAAGCTCGAAGGCCGTTAAAAGTGGGTCTCGCGATGAAAGCGCGATTAGAGATGACGAAGTGAGCGCTCGGTACGCATTTATTCGAGATTGCGAGTGTCGGAGGGAGTCCTGTTCGCTGGAAGTGACGCACTCGTCGCAACCACACCTACAATAAAGTGACAATGCCGCTTCCTCTCATCTTTACATCAAGGATCATTTAATTATACAGGAATAAGTATAAAAAAAATAATTAATATAAAATGCATCGAAAAAATTTCAAGTCGTTAAATATTTTATCTAATTTAAAAGGCAAAAGTAATAAAATAGTAAATTGAGAACTGTTATTATAAAGTACGTTTCATCTTTTGTATACCTTGCATCGTGAGGTGTTGGAAGAGTCGCACCACGATCTAATAGCAGTTTCAGTATTTCGTAATTATTTTTATGAGCTGCCAAAATCAACGGAGTTATATCCGACGTAAAATTTGATGATGAATCTGCAGCTTCCCAACTCTGAAATAAAATGTGAAAGTATTGTGTTTGAATTTTCGTAATCAATGATTAACTCATTAAGGAGGTGTATAATCGTTACACAGGAAGTTTTAGTTAAATCATAATTGTTTTGTTTCAAAGTCTAAGATTAATACTAGAATCATTAAATAGATAATTTATACTAATATTTTGTACCCGAGAAATCTATACCAATCCGCTGTATTTTTACTGAAATATTTTATATTTATTTAGAAATAATGATAATAATTTTTAAAAACATAATTAATTTTTTGAATAAACTTTAACAATGTTGCAATCAATGTTGTATTTTAATTATTTAAAAAGTGTAAAACAATCTCATCACTTATTTAAAATACGTACATAGAGATAAAAGTCTATTAAGGAAAAATTATTTCCTTGATAAATAAAGTTGCTATTCTCGATGTTAAAAAAATTGTTTTATGCAGATGGGTTACATAAAAAATATAAATCTTTTTGATTTTTTTAATTTAAGAAATATTTAAGGATGTATTGACCGTACAACCCTGCCAAAAGTTAGCTTTTAATAAAAAATTACTAAAATAAAGACTTTGCATGTATGTCAAACTCAATATTTTTTATATATTAGAAAAAATTACCGTTAACAATTTGAGTATGGTTTTTTGTCATTTAAATAATTAATATTGTTTAAACAATTAAAAAATTAAAAAATTTAGCAAAAAATTTTGAAACTTAAAATACAAGATCAATGATGGATATGTTTTACATATAAAAAAAGTTTTAGAAATATCTCATCGTTTTTATTTATATTTACAGCAAAAATGTCGATTTTCTATAATATAATAATAAGGAATAATGTTAATTTTAATTTCATCAACTTTAAGCTTGATAACTCTTAAATCGTTTAGTAAATCACTTACAGAGTATTTTTAATTTAAATTTAAAAGATACATCTCAAAATTTTAGCCATTTCTGAATATATTTGAAATACCTCCAATACATCCTTAAAATCGTTATAACTTAGCAACCGTTTAGTGGATTCGTTCCAACTTTTTTGCAGCACATCAGGAAGACTATAAAAGAACAATTGCACAAATTTTTGTCGACTTCTCATTGTTTTGAAGATATAGCCAATACATCCTTAAAGGAAAAAATAAAATTTAAAATTTAAAGGCACAAAAACTCAGTTGAGATATAAATCTTTTATATTCACCGAAGAAATTTATATAAAAAATTTTATACTTTAAAAATTGGCTGAAGGTTTCTATTGAAACTATTTCTATTAAAGATATATGAAAAGTCTTAAATCGCTGTTAGAATTAATAAAAAAAGATGGGACAAAATGATAGTATTATCAAACTCACGTAAGGTTGCCCTGGCTTGTGTATTTTTTCCTCCCATTCCAGTAGGACTTCCACCGCCTCCACGTACTCCTCTTTAATGGCATGCAAAAGTGCATCCTGAAAGATACATGCATTATGGTTTTAAGTGTTTTACGCTTTTAGGCGTCAGGATGTAGCTAAGACATTTTGCAACGCAGATGGTTAATAGTAACATCACTTATAGTGGCTTGTATCGTTTCGTACATGGGATAAACTTTATACGTCAACATTTTTTTTATTTTTTGTCTTATTTTTTTATTATCGTTCAATAATATTTGTGTCTTGATAATTTTATTGATATGGACTTCAGCAATACATGCGCTTTTTATAGAAATCGATGATGTTATACGTTTAGCAGCGTCCAAAACTGAAAGGAACATTTTGAACACTTTCTGTGAGAATGAATACATGGTAACCTAAAATGTACCAGATATATGCACAGAACTGTTATTAGCATATCCCGGTAGACATCGATTATGGTACATCAGCGTGATACGTATTACCAACAATAATTAGGGGAGCGGCTGTCGCGCATAATTTTCATGAGAGACATCGTACCGTTTCGACCCCACGATATTTACCTTCACTTCAATTCCCAATTCGAGCAGCAGCTTAATAAGCTCGATATTTTCATTTTCAATAGCGGCTATCAGCGCCGACCGATTTAATGGATCGACACAATTGATATTTAATATCTCCGGGTGATCTCGATTCTCTTCGATTAACCTGTTTGATAAATTATACAACAATTACCATATCTTTGTTATTAAAACAATTCTATTCAAAAATATGTTTAAAAAATTTATTTATAATAATAATTATGAGAATCTTATCAACTACTCTTTACAACATCTGTTTCGGCAAAACTTGCTTCGTTAAAACTATATTTTACTCGCAAGCAAAATATATTTTATATAAATCTTATTTTTAATTAACACAATGCATATATTATTATATTAATCGATTAATCGATTACCAACTGTAGTCACGTTCTTCTTATCCGTACAAAATTACCTTTTTAAAAAAAAAGGTAAAAAAAGGCGCCAAGTACACGCATAGTAGTGTATATGTTGTTACCTCGAATAAAAAAAAGTGGTAGCTAAAAAAAATTGTACCTAAAAAAAACCTAAGTAACAAGTGGTAGACGTAATCTTTATATCTCGAAAAATCTAAGCAGTAGTATCTTTATTTTCGAAAAATTATAACCCAAGTGATACACATCACAAAATTATGTTACCTTATCAAAAAGAAGAGTCGCGCTTCAAGTGATCTATTACAATTACAAAAAAGAAATGATATCTCTTTAAATTACAGCGCCAATTACAGAGAGAACATATTGCCTCAAAAAATAATTGTTGCACTACTTTGAAAAATCTTTACATTGTGTCAATTAGCAAAGAATGTATGATAACAAATTTATAAGATTAAAAAATTTTATTTAAATTTAACAAGGGAATACA